GATTGGAATCTCCCGATTCAAAGAGTAAAACTCTATCTCTCCTGATGCTGTTTAACGTTTGACTGATTTACGGTGGGATATGAGAACAGAACTTGTTTCCGTGTGTGAGCGTGCGTGAAAGCCTGCTCACGGAACAGAAAACGAAACTTGTTCGATGTAGATTTTCTGCTGCTTTTATGTTGTTGTTCACTATTTCTAGACACTCTGAACTAAAACCAAAGTTTAATTTTCATGAATTATAATCTATACAATGAAAGGTAATGCACAACATTTAATGGCATGATATAATAATTATTCAGAATTAATTACTCGTACAATTTTAGTAATTTATTGAGGAATGATCTCGAGGAAAATGTACGAGCTCTTTTTTAAGTAAACGATGCAAGAAAATATCATTCCTATGATATATGTTAGCTCTTGTGATTGTCTCAAATTAAAATGATATTGAAAAATATCATGCGAAGAAATTGTATCCATCTTGTGTACTGTGTTCCTTTCTGCTTCGTAAGTCTACAAGTGTAACATAATAAGTAGTATTAATAATTCTCAACTTTATTAGTGAAAACAAATAAAGTACTTTTAAGTAGATCAGCTTAGCAGGCGTCGCTAAGGCAAAAGCGGTATTAACCATCTCTTCTCAAAGTCGTTGGTTCGAATTCCGCTTTGGCCATGGATGTTTGTGTGACTATGCGATTACTTCTATAGATGCGAATATGATTTGGGAAATTCTTATGACGATAAAAAGCCTCCTCCCGTGTATGAATGTTGATGATGATTTCTGGAACTGTTGTAACATACATCGATCTCGTGATTCAAAGGAGGCCCAACTAAAAGGCATTACTTACATACACAAACTATTTTAAGATTCATTGACTTGATTATTTATATACTTTTCTTGCATTTTTTTCTTTCCAAATGAGACACTTTTAATTACTCCCTATATTACCGACTATGATGTGCAATAATGATAATATTTTTAAAAACTAGACATTTCTTGCGTTTTTGTAATATTTTATTTTTTCTCCACTCACTATCGTTTCAGGCCAGAATGAAAGTCCAAATCAGGACTGATACGTTGAGAAGTTGAGGAAAAAATAAAAAGGTTTTCAAAACGTAAAATCGTATTTTATGTAATGTATAATAAAGTCAAATAACTCAAAATATTAGAAACTGGGGTGTGCGATGACTATTCGCGGAAGTCAGTGCATGAATGATGTCCGATGCACGAGAATGACTGTCGTCGCCCACACTTCCATTTAGACCCGTACAGCTGAGGCGCAACGCACTTGCAGCTGACGTCATAAATCACAGCGTTTATGGGCGCCTCTCTCGAACGGCGCTGGCGAATGAGTAGTGAATTTCGTTTCGGGCGTTTGCCGCACGCAATCACTTTTTCAATCTTCGTAAAACTGAAATGTGACACGTATAATAGGGTTTCAAATTCCCGGTACATTATTCTTTCTTTTGAAAACTGTACAATACGAGAAAATGACGAGGCACTATGAGAAAGATGGGAACTACGCAGTTCAACCTCCCGGGAAGGGTCTTCTCATCGTATTAGTACAGGAAAATTGCTTTTGTAGAGCAGTCGGAGGGTACATTTTATCTGTAAAATGGTCTTAAAAGTATTTATTTGAATATATAGAATACACCAAGGCACTAGGTAACTCCCTCCCCCCGTTTTCTACCTCGTAGACCCTGTGCTAACTTCCGGAGGCTCAATCGGCAATTTTCTGACTTTTTTAATGTGTTCTCTGTAACTCTTTAACCGTGTCCTATAGAAAAATAATTCAATTACTTTTAAATAGGATAAAATTTCTCACAAATTTTGTAAGAAATATTTTTTTAAACAAATTATAATGCGAGCTACAGCTTCCCCAAAAATATAATCATTCATTTCGCCAAAATGTGTGCATAAATACACGTTTTTGAAATAAAAACAACCTATAATAAATATAAATATTAATACAGTTACTACTATTATTTTTCTCACCCTTGGTGGAAACATTGCACTAATTGTCGAAACAGTGCACGAACAATGCACGAACAATGCACGAACATTGCACGCATTGTCGAAAATAATAACACCCTATTTTACTAGTTGAAGTATGGGGATAATGGTGATTCTTGGGAGAGGCTTGCATTAATTTGCCTGGGGTGGTGGTTATTGTGGAGGTTATTGTCATTAACCGAAAAGGTTCTGCTGGGTAGAAAACTGCAGATGTTTAAGGCAATATAATGAGGGGTTCCTATTTTTTATTTTGTATAGTAGTGCCAGATGATATGTCCTGTTCAAAGTCTGGGTTATGTCATTATGTCATGCCTATTGTATGTTTTTTTTTCTGAAATGGAGAGCATAGGTGTTCTGTGGTTCTTAGTGGCTTGTGCTGTGTAGATATACGAGTATATTCGATGAAATTTCTCAAGACTAGAAAAGTCGTTACTCCATATTAAGAGGCGGGTACCGAGTAGACAATTGGAATATTGAAGAAAGAAAAGTTTCAGTTTTCCTTTGTCACTGCATTTTGAAGTCTTTGCAAGATGTAACTTCCTGTATATTCATTAAGGAGGAAAAACATCAACACTCATTCCCTTTTGATTACAGTATTGGATGGTTTTACAAGCGGGGAAAATGTACATTTCCCTGTTTGATGCCAACAACAGGCATATACTACGTGCTATGCAGATAAATCCACCAATGCGGTCTGTTGTTGAAACTGTGCGCCCGAGAAAGCACGCACCGGGTGTGTATGTTCGTCTATTATCTGCGACCGTGAAATGACATTTGTTTCTTGTCAACTGTTGCTTGTGTGGGCAGGTCTATTGTTTGTAGATGGATCCGTGCGCAGGAAAATTAACACAATAAAGTGTATTTTAACATCATACGCAAGTTGTTCCCCACTCTGAAAATAATATACTGGCGTGCCGATGCCGCGTGCTTGCAGAGACTCAATGGGAGTGTGACCGGAACTCGAGTGACGGAAGAGATGAACGTTTCCTCCTCGTCGTTTGTCCTCTTCGTAATGAATGCTCTGCGCGCGCGTGTGTGTCTGTGTGTGTACTTTTGTCGGCAATAGCAAAGAATACCCAGAAGGTAATATTTGCTGCAACGACGTACTTCAAACGTATCCTGGATTGCAATCGCCAGTAACGGCAACCTTTTCATACGTTGGATAATGGCGGAAGTCTCCGGCTTTCATTCAGAGCTGAACGCTCAGCTTTAGATTTATGTTAACCCTTCACATCCCATTCGTATAGATATCTCTTGCAGGATAATGAGTATATTGGTCATTTGCGTTGTCGAGATGATTGATAGTGGTGATGTCTGTCTATGAACTACATGGTTAAGTGGCTCCCAAATTATTCTTGCTAGTGTGACATGCGCCAAATGTATCATTGATTTTACTGCTACTTACTACTGTCAAACATCGTAAATTCTCGGTTATCTGATATTTAGAATCATTGGAAATAAGTACAGAAATTATTAATTCCTTTTATTTAATTCATTGTTATACAGCAGTCATTCTGTGGAAGCATTTAAATCATTTCATGGCTTCGTAACTATAAAAAAATAAAGATTTTTTAATCTAATGCGGTGTCTGTCGCCAAAACCGCGGGTAAATTTGCATCAACTCTGTTTCTTAGTGTTATTGTGCAGCTTCTAAATCATGCTACGATATGAAAAACGAAATAATTTCCGGATAATTACCGGAAACGAAATAATTTCGTGTGTATGAAAATAGAATTTTTACAGACTTTTTTTCGTAACTTACGTTATTTATTCATTTTATAATCATTGCCCTATACGGTAGCTATGTAATCGCTTATTTAATATTACCTGACATTTTAGATATAATACTTGAACATAAAGGCATACTCAAAATGTTGGCGGGTAGCTTAGCTACAATAAAGCCATTCGCAGCGGCTTGGCGGAAGAGCAGACCTCGGTACTTGAACCTCTCCACAAATAAGCAGTTCATTATTATTATTATTATTATTATTATTATTATTATTAT